CTCTTATTTATTTTTTTGGCGGGGGGGGGGGGGGGGAGGTAAGAGCCTTTCGCCCTTCTCCCGTTTCCCTCTTTCCTTCTTCCTCTTCTTTCTTTCCTTTTATATTTTCTTTCCCATTCCCTTTCCCTTCTCTCTCTCCTTATTTATTTTTTGGCGGGGGGGGGGGGGGGGAGTGAGGAGGAGGCAAGAGCCCTTCGCCCCCCGTTTCCCTCTTTTCTTCTTATTATTCTTTCTTTCCTTTTATCTTCTCTTTCCCTTTCCCTTTTTTCCTTCTCTCTGTCTCCCCCAGCTAGGGCTGGTTTTGTTTACGAAGCGCCCGTCAGGAGAGTACACGATAGAGTACACGATAGAGTACACGATAAAATTGACGATATCGTGAACTTTATATCGTGAACTTTTCACGATAAAATTCACGATATCGTCAATTTCATCGCGAAAAGTTCACGATAAAGTTCACGATATCGTCAATTTCGTGAATTTCTTCGTGAAAAATATGCGATAAAATTGACGATATCGTGAATTTTATCGCATATTTTTCACGATTTAGTCTATTCGCGATGTCCCTTCAGGGCCACCATAGTGCAGCGTTTAGACAAATAAAAGTGCAACAATCTTCTCGCTCGGGAGCTAAGCTCCCTCGCATAATATTCTTCAACGTGTAGAGTAAATATTCTAGAAAAGTGAAGAGTGCAAAAAGTATATTGCTTGTATTTATACTATTGTTTTGCTAAGGAATGTAATGTGTTAATACAACAAAACTTCAAAAACCTGTAGGGGGGGGGGGGAATTAGTCACTTCCATCACCTTCACCCCTCTCGTTCACTATGCTTCCTCGCCCTGGCGTAACGATGGGGGGGGGGGGGAGCTTGGGGTAGTTGCCCCCTAATGAAATTCAAACTTGGTTTATTTCTAACTCGATACCAGTGATTTACAAATGTTGATGAAATGGCATGGTTTTTCCCTGAGCTTCCGGGGGCTCTTGACCCCACCATGGACCCTAAGGCTGGCCCCTGGTTGCTCATCTGACCGTGATTAAAGCCCAAAACACTGAGCTTCCGGGGCTCTGCCCCCTGGACCCCACCACCCCCCGTCCCTCGCATTTGGTCCCCCCGGTCATGAAAAGAAATCGCCGCCCCTCCGTGGTACCAACCGGATACCTTGGCTCCGCGGTCTGGGGAACTGACATTGGGCTTTGGGTATAGGGAAGGAAAACCCGATAAAACCTCAGGAGTGGGATGGTGGCCTTCTCCTTAAATCAACAGAACATTGTTGTACCAGACTGGGAATTCATTAACCGCGCGTGTCCAGTTTCTGTGCTTTGGCACACAGGTCAAAACTCCTTTACCTCTCACAACAAACAAGTACTGGTAAATATACAGTATAAGAGATACTATTATATACCTCATATATAGATTGTCATTCACTGATTGGTCAAAACTATATCACATGACAAGGAGCATCTCGATCTATCATTGCGTCAGAGGGTTTGGGCATTCTATCAATTGACCTACGTGATAGAACGCCCAAACCCTGTGATAGTACGCCTAACCTCTCCGCGACTTTTGCACCAAAAAAAAAAAATTGGTTCAGGTTTTAAGAGCGCTTTCAATTTCTTGAGTCGCTAGGTTACGACTACGTTAATCAATCGCACGGTACGTGCAGCGAGTAAGAATTCAACATGGCGAGTGACTTAGCAACTGATCGAGCTCCGACTCCAAGATTGGAATTATTAAGTGAGGAGGGTTTGGAGCAGTTACTAGAGGAAGCAGAGAGACAAATCAAGTACGCGGTCTCTATCTTTAAGGATTACTGCTCAACATGCAATATTGGTGACATCGAGAACATGAGCGACGCGGATTTGGATAATCTTCTTTCAAGATTCAATGCAGGAGCTCGATTGCCAGAAGGCCGGATAGCTGAACTGTAGGAACACGATACAATCGATGCGGTATGGCCTGCAAATTAAGGCATCTCCAAACTACTCGCAATGTTGATATTGTGAAAGGTACTGTGTTTAAAGTTTCCAACAAGATCTTCAGTTCAAAGCCTTTCTGGAAAAGTTGAAGAAAAGTGGAAAGAGTAACGTCAAACGACACCCGCTGGTGAGCCCAAGTGACATGCAATGCATTCAAGAAAACCTGGATTTGAATACTTATGAAAGAGTGTTTTATTCCAAATCATTTGGTATCATTTTGGTGTGGTATGTGTTCACGCTTGGGTGAACAGGAAGCATTGTTTGCGAGAGTGCAAAAATCGACTTGCGCCAAAGTGATGCCTACTGTATGTATTAAGTGGGGATTAGCGGAGTGAGAGAATAAATTGAATGTATCAAATGAAATGCATTGCATATGCTTTTTGCAGAAGCAAAGTCACACACACACACACACGCGCGCACAAATGTTCGTTGATATTTCATATTCGATATTTTGATAAGTGTGGCATGATTAATTCTGTTAGGGACGACTTTGGCGCAAGTCGATTTTTGCACTCTCGCAAACAATGCCTCCTTTTCATCCAAGCTCAACACATACCATACAAAAATGATACCAAATGATTTGGGATAAAACACTCTTTTATAAGATGTATAATAATTTACTGTTCATAGATGATTTTTTAAATAAGCAATTTTCTAGGTGTAAACTTTTTGTTGACTCACATTGTATAGTATGTATCCGTGACACCACTAAAGATTTTTTTATTTAACAGTGAATACAGGTGAACTGAATTTTTTATTAAGAACACTATGGAATTAACGAACAAAATACATATGTAGCATAACTATACCAGCTCAGTTCAATAAAACATGTACATCCATTGCTTGAGTGCACCTTGTACAGCTAGACCGAAACCCTAGTCGGTGGTATCGACGGTTTCTTACGCCTGGCTCCGATCTAACCTCCTCTATAATGTTCAGAGGGCAGGGCTCAAATTAATTTTTTGTCCACGGGGCTCTTTTATTACTGACGGGGGCTCTTTTTTATACAAATATCCATTGAATTGGTACCTATGATACTCCTCAATTATTTGCTATTTCATCATTATCATTTCAATCAGCATTTTCCCTCTTACAAATTTACAAGCTACATAGCTGTTACTGGCCTGTGTATATAATATATACGCATACAACACTGATCTTTATGATGTCTTTAACGTGACATATCTTCTTCTCCCCTTGCAAACGAAAAAGAAAACATGGTCATTAAAAGGGATTAAGCGACAAATAATGATTGTGATTCAAATTGATGCGAATATTTGTTTGAATAAGCACTGCTATTCACCCGAATCTTCTTTGTAAAAACAACTTTTACAAATCTCAGCCATGCTTACTGAGTTGAGACGTTTCATTTAATTTAAAATACCCATTACATATACACTTCTCCTAATCTCAAAGTGATCTTACAGCACAGTGGCAGAATTGCATGGCTGAGATTTGTAAAAGTCGTTTTTACAAAGAAGATTCTGGTGAAAAGCATTGCTTATTCAAAAAACATCCTTGCATCAATTTGAATCACAATGATTATTTGTCGCATGGTCCTTTTATTAAATAACCTTGTTTTCTGTTTTGTTTGCAGAGGGAGAAGAAGCTATGTCACATTAAGAAATCATAAAGATCAGTTGTATTATGCGTATATACATATGATACCAGAACAAATGTTGATTATCAGAATGTCATTTTGGAATACCTCGATACAAATACCACATTGTCTTTAGCCCGTATCAGTATTAGTATGATCCAATATAAAGCTATTATTCTTTATTTAATTCAGTATAATGCTTTTCCTCAAAAATAATTTTGCTATTTTTTTAGGGTTGAGACGCTAAGAAATGGTTTCAAATGTACATTACACGAACTCTGAACCATTGCAAAATGATGGTGGTTCTCTCTCTCTCTCTCTCTCTCTTTATTTTAATCATGCATTATCAACTACATATAAAGCAGCAACCAAAAACTTAGGGTTATCTAAGATAGGTGAAAGTAAGAGTTAAAAAGAAAGTCATGCTAAAACGGCGCTTCACTTCCCCCCGCCCCCTGAAAAAAATAAAATAGATTAGTATTCTCCTCTCCAGAATCCCCCTCCCCCCGCTTTAATATCACATTTTCACTTGGCAGCCCAAGGGGGCCGGGGGATGGGAGGAGGGGGTTAAACCCCCTACCCCCCCCGCCGTAGATCTGCCCATGTTACCATATCATTCCACGACATTTTGGTCTTCCTCTTCTCCTCAAAATAGTCAGGTGGCTTAGCGAAATTATCGTTACACGGCGGACAAAAGCGCCATTTTTGGTACAGGGCTTCCTTTCGACCTACTGAACGATATTAGCCTAGGAGCCCTCGGCAAAAAATTAATTTAAAGGTGTGGGGGGCGGGGGCGGCATTCCGGAGCCCCTTAATAAAATATAAGTTAAAATAACATTGATCTGTTGTTGTACGAATGTAATTTTTGGTACAGGGCTTTTTAGAACCATCTGAACGATGTTAGGGTTGCAGCCCCTTCAAAAAAAAAAATATATAGGTGTATTTTTGGGGGCCGGGGCGTCGTACCGGAGCCCCCATATTATATATTCTGTAAGATCACATTGGTTTGTGATTATACGACAGCCTGTTTTTGTACAGGGCTTCCCAAGGACTTACTGAAAGATAGTAGGGTAGGACCCCCTGGCAACAATTTCATATAAGGGTGTAGGGGCGGGGGCGCCATCCCGGAGCCCCCCAAATACTATAAAGGTTAAAAAAAAAAAAAAAATCTTGCACAAATGCAATTTCTGGTACAGGGCTTTTTTTTGACCTACTAAACGATGTTAGGGTTGGAGCCGCCAACAAAACATTTATATAGGTGTATTTTGGGGGCGGGGGCGCCGTACCAGAGCCCCCGTGTTAGATATCATGAAAGATCACATTGGTTTGTGGTTATATGACAGCCTTTTATGGTACAGGGCTCTCTTATGACCTACTGAATGATATTAAGGAAGGAGCCCCCGGCAAAACAATCGCATAAGTGTGAAGAAGGTCGGGGCGTTGTTTCGGAGCCCCCGTGTTGATTTTGTTAAACCTTAATAATTTGCATACTCTGGGGGTAGAATGTTGCCAGTCGCCAGTAATAAGTCTTAACAACAGAACACGCTCATGTCAGGTGGCTAAGCGTTACTATCAACTAATCATAGCCTAGGAGCCTTTCAGAATTTTTGAAAAAAATCATGTAAAACACAGAATTCCAAGTTAGCTGACATTTGTGACATAATTCCACTCATTCCTGAGAATCATAAAAAGTTTTAAATGGTTACGAAATATATGTATAGAGGCCACTGATCAAATTCAATTCAAGTTTGGATAAATTGCAATACTACAAGTGGACCTAGCTACAAGCAGTTTCACCAAAGTAATCATTGAAATGTGTGACTCTTGGATAATTGGACATTATAAAAATAACAAAACATTTTTAATTATTATATATACCGTTTTTATTCAACTTTCAATAACAATCCACCCTCTTCAGGGGCGGATCCCGGAATGTTTTAAGAAGGCGGGAGGAGAGGGTTCAGGCCCAATAGATTTTTGTTCACAAAAGAAATGAAATAAATAAACTCATATGCGCAGTATGCTTTCTAGCACTTATTCCAAGCGTTTACCACATACCATGTATAATCCATGGGGGGGGGGGGGGTGCGTTGACCACCACCTCCCCGGATCAGTGTCTGCTTTTCTGATTTGAAGTTAAAGTTGATCACCCATTTTAGTAAACATTCATTCGTTCTCAATAACTAGATAAAACTTGCGTTTCAGCAAAAAAAAACAATTCTTAATTTTCATGACTATATCTCACATCACGGAGATTAGAGCATTGCATGTGGTTGAAATGGATTGCAGTGTAAAAGAAACTTTCATAGTTTTCTCAATTTTCTAAGTATGTGGGATTGTTAAGTGATGTTTAATAATAAAATCGCTTACAGTTTACAATGTTCTATGTAGTACAACTGCACTTGCAAAGTGGTGAGCAGTCCAAATTTGCTTTGCCGCATTTGCAGTTGGAGCAGTCACCTTTGCATGAACATCTGATAAGTTCACGACATGATCTGGAAATCTCTGGAATTGTCATCCAAACTGGTACCCATGACTCTGATATTTTGGTCCAGGCAAAGTCCTTTGGAGAAGGAACCACTGGCTGTGTTTGAGTGCAGGTCGTCCAGATTCCCGCTTGATACACTGCACGGCGGACATGCTGGAGTAGTGCATCCTTGGTGGGTGGCAGTTTGTCCATTGCTCGATTCTTATGGCAGAAGAGTTCCTGTCTTGTCTTGTTGACAGAGTTCAAAGGACTGGTTTTGTCATACAGGATAACAGTCAGTCTCTCGAGCTTTAGGAACGAGTCGTCGTTGAGTTCCAGCATCTGGAAAGGATGGTCGGCTAGAGACACAAATGTCTGTGTGACGTCTTTATAGATCTGCCAGGCCTGCCAAACTGACTTCTTGCCCTTGCCATTGAAAGCAGAGGTTGTGTCACAACCTGAAAATGCGTGGAACATGGGTAATGCACGTGATTTTTGCTGCCCTAGGCTCGAGTAGATGGCGTTGATGTGGTAAAACCTGTAATTCTTGCCCATGCCAAAGGCCACCCAGATGTCAGCCAAAGGTTGAGTTGAAATCAGATTATGGAATGTGCCAGCAAGGATTACTACAACATCTGTGTCCACAGTTCGCACAAGGATAGTCTTTCCCCCGTGTTTCAGAGAATGTAGCACATGAACCACAACTCTAGTGTCCGCCTCCTCGTGATTACAGTTTTGCATGGGGATGCCAGTACCAATGGATGCCACAGATTTCCCGGATGTGACATATACAGCTTTGGCTGGCGGCAAGTTGAAATCCTCAATCTTGGAAGTCAAAAAGGCAAACAGCTCTTTCTTGTTGAGTGGGTCACGGAGAAAGTCCATCCAATTGCCTGGTAGTTTGGTCTCACCCGATACTTTCCTGCGCACACCCTTGCCTCTCTTTTCCCGGGTAGATTCTTTCAAGCTATCTGGAATGTATGTGTCCCACACGACATCCAACCTCATGGCGTCCTGAAGCTGCTTCTCCAGGTATGGGATGAATACCCTGTCTGCATACTCATGGAATGTGCTGACGCTGGTAGTGGGCAGACAGTGTACGATGACGGCACCATCCAGGACTTTGCAGTCATAGGTTGAAGGTGGCTCTGATTGACCAGGTTGCTCAAGACATTTCAGCAGGTCCGACTTCGTGCTGGGCAAATGAAGCTTGTTAAAGTCTGAGAGGGAAGGAGGGAAGGACTGTATCTCATGTGCAAAGAACTCTGCCAAGTCACCTTCCCGGTTCTGCATAGATATGTACAACTGGCCGAAGAGTGCCACGTTGTTTTGAAGCACTTTGATCTTCTTCCCCTGCTTAGATGTTACCTTCCGTTTAGGTTTACTGAATAGTGCTAGAGAATTCCTCTTGATTGGGTCATGGATGGAGTGGCTGCGAACATCAAGCACATTCTTGACAAAGTTCTTGTACTGTTTCCTGCCTGTATCCTCCAATGTGTGCAATGCGGCTACCACTGATTCATCCGCACAGTTGCGACTGTCAAGAGTTACTAGTTCGGAGAAATCATCCAAGAAGGGATTGCCCATTCGTCTGATGGTATCGGAGAGGCTGACAACCTGTCGCTGGAAGGTCTTCTGTGTTGAGAGACCCTGCTCATGATGCTGGAAGTTCTCCGGGATCTCTGTGTCATCATCAGGAAGGTATTCTTCTTCGAATTGCTTTAGCAGCCTGGACATCTCTGGTCCCGAAAGCATCCATCGTCGAAAAGCCACAGGGTTTTCTGTGAGTCCAACAGCTCCACCAGAACCTTTCACGATCTTGTTTTCCTGCTCATGAGCTTGATCAAATGGGATTGCAGAGAATTTGTTTCTTGTCTTGGAAAGGACCCAGTGAGAAAAATTCTCAAACTCATCCTTGATAGTGTCGGGCAGAGACTTCATATCTCTGATGTGAACTGGCATCCACCGTGAGTAGTTCACATGATCCAAGGCAAAGAACAGTGGTGTGAGTTCCTCCAAGACTTCAACATACAAAGGGAAATTCTTCTCTCTGTGAGCCCTGATGAAGATAAGAATGAGGGTTTCATATCTCATGATCAGGTCCCAGTACATGAAAGTAGGACTTCTCTTCTGCATGTTGTTTTTCCAAGCCGTGAAAGATTCTTCATCTTTGGGGCCGTCGCTGTGCATGAAAGCCTCACTCTGAAGATTGTGCAGAGTCAAGACAGTGATTTGGTGGGCGCGCCTAGTTCTAGTTAAGTGTGCTGCCTTCAGATACGAATCGGCCGTGCCAGATGACGCTACCTCTGCCTCTGTGAGGGCTGTGGTCCAGCCAGAACCTTCTAAGACATCCCCAAGTGTGTTCCATAGTGCCATTTCTGTGTGCAGACCTCCTAGCATAACCACATGCACTTTCTCACCATGAGTGTCTGGCCATTTCCACTGTACAAACTTTGCCAAGGCAAACAGAGGCTGGTCAAATGTCGTGACTGGGATTTGTCCTGGGTTCAGAAATTCGACAGCTTGGCTCTCGACATCCATGCCATGCTTAATCATAGCAGGAGTTGCAGACTTCTCATAAAAGAGAGGAAGGAGTGCACATTGTGCTGGAGGGTCTTCTACCGGAGGTTGATTAGAGGCATGATAGGCAGCCCATGAAATAGTATCTCCACTGATGAGTTCTTTTGTCTCTAGAAGTGGCAGTGAATGCTCTACCCAACTGTGTTCCCCTGCTTTGGCCGCATCTAAGCACCTCTCGAGTGGAAACACTTCACTTTCTGGCACCGCAACAGCAGTTGTCTTCAAAGCTGTGGCTGGTACATAGGCGTAGCTATCAGGAAGAGCATGCTTTTCATTTCCAGAAGGTGGTATCACAACAGGTGCTCTGCTCTCGCCAGGTTTGGCCTTGGTAGGCAACTGTAAAAGGCTGATTCCAGTCCCATGGAATGATGTTTTGGAAGTGGTTGAGCTCGGGTTGTGGTCTAGGTTGTCGAGGGCGCCAACAGTGAACACACCTTTCCGGAGGCTAGCCGGAGACACCACTCCATCTTCTACAAAGCGTTCACAGGTAGAAGTTGCGATCCATTCCTCAATCTCCATAATCCTGTCATAAGAAATGCTGATGCCAAAGTGATACAACTGCGTGATGAGCTTCTTGCTTCTAGTCAGTGCATGCATACTGATGCCAATATAGATTGGGAGGGGTGGTTCACGCTCCAGAGTGTGTCTGGTCTTCACAGTGGTATCAGATGACCGTTTCTTTGTATTGTAAGTGATGCACTGGCTGATTGTGAGGCAAGCCTGGGAGTCACGCTTGTCTTGATGTTTTAAGTTGGGACCATTCAAGATCATGGAGACAAGAGACTTGATGCTTGAGGGCAGTGAGTCTTCCTGACATTCTTCCGGGAAGCAACCAGTGAATTTGAAGCCTTGATGGTTAAAGATGTCTTTTCTTATTATTGTAGCAGCATTGGCCAAGATAACAGCGTCTGCTGAGAAGTCTCGACTCGTCAGAGCTTCTTTCAACATATTGTGCATGCCTTCCTTGAAAATGAGTACAGTGTTTTTCCCAGCATACTGTTCTTGTGCCTCTGAGAAGCGTCCTAGCAAACGAACCTTCAGTCTGGTCTTGTTGACTTGTTTCTTGATACCCAGTTCTTTAAGACGAGTCACATACAGATCGTGAACCTCATTCAACTTGAAGAGGAGAGTTCCAGAATCCACAGACTTCTCAATGTAGCTGGTCAGTTCCACAAATGCCCGAGACTCGTTCATTTTTTCATCTGTGTTTTCAGCTGCTTGGCCTGCCTTGCGGGTATGACTACGGTAGCGATTTCTTAGCTTGGTCAGACATGTCAGATGGTATTTTGCCTCCATTGCAATTAGATCTCCCCCAACTATTCTAGCCATAAGCAGGGTATCATTTAGCTCTGTGATCATGTCCCTGATATTTTTGTCGGTATCCAAGGTTGAAACTTCATGGAGAACATTTTCTTCTTCACCTTTCTCACAGAATATACACCTTTGAACATCTAGTGATTTGCGCTTACTGGGCCTTTTCTCTTCACCATCAGGGTTAGGCTCTCTCTTCTTATTTGTCTTTGCCAACTTGGAATTGTTAAACTTTAAATGGCAAGATTTGTGCCAGGAGGCAGAATGAGAAACAAAATTGTCAACAGTTTCATCACTCCCAAAATAGAGTTTCACAGGAAGAGCACCAATATTCCTGAACTGTTCTACGTTGGTCAGGAATGATGTGTAGGCACATGCCTTGTCAACACTTGTCCTAGGACTCTTTAAGGGACACTTCAAGGGTTCAGCAGTGTCGTGCTGGCAAATCACACAGCGATCCCAATTTAGCTCCATGTTTAGTCACACCCTAAAAAGAAACAAATGTATTGGAATACTATGAAAGGTGTCCGAGGCCACTACAATATTTAGTAGGATGTAGGTTCAATGAATTCAGGCTGTTGGCTCATTAATTCATGTCTCATATGTTACCTTCTTTTTTCTGAGCAGAGCTACATATTATGTGTGTATCAAAGTAACACTCGACAAGTTAAGCCTAATGTTCTCCATCAAAATGATGATGAACTATAATCAATCTGTCTAGCCCATTGCCCTGCTTCATCTATACTCATCAATGCTTTGATTTTCTTTCACAACTGTTTATTTAATTATAGACTTTTCACCCTATTAACAATCAATGAGTTCCCTGGCAACATAACACAAAAAGACATGAACTCACAAGCATTCATAAGCACGCCTGTTAAATTTACATACACACACATACAATCATTCATATTCATACCAATCTACCCCTATGCAATTCAACACACTGCACAGTCCCAATTTGGGCGCATGCACTGCCAACTACTCAACTATTATGCAATGTGTATCCAACACACTTACTATGCACACACAGCACATCATTTAAACTTTCTTGACCTTTCCAACTCTAAAATCAGTTTTGTATAGGAGGACACTAAACCACAAAGTTGTCATATAGTCTGTAACTATCAAAGAATGTAACAAGTAAAGAATGATACCTTATCTCTCTATTTGAATAAAGATGTTTATGGATAGAAATCTGATAAAAATAAGGTTTTTTCTTACCTGATACATAATGTGCTGGATTAGTGAACTTCAGATTAAGTAGGTCACAAATGAATGGACAAGAACAAAGAACGCCATCACTCATCAATATGTGCTTAGTGTCTGCTTCAGAATACGTCTTACATGTTAATACTCTTTATAGAGACTGGAAATATCTAAACTCAAACAACAAAAACAGGCAATTATCAGAGTAGTGGATAAATTGAGGGGAAAAAATAAAATTTGTGAACATTTTATAAAACAACACTTCTCAAGGAACTAACGGCTCATCACATTAAGTACCCATTATATATAGGTTTATGGTTCAATAATTACTTTGGTAAAACTGCTTGTAGGTCCATTTGTAGTATTGCAATTTATCTAAAGTTGGATTCAATTTGATCAGTGGCCTCTACACAAATATTTCGTAACCATTTTAACCTTTTTATCATTCACAAATGTCGGCTAACTTGAAAATTCTGTGTTTTACATGATTTTTTCAAAACTTTCGAAAGGCTCCTAGGCTATGATTAGTTGATAGTAACGCTTAGCCACCTGAAATGAGCGTGTTCTGTTGTTAAGACTAATTACTGGCAACTGGCAACATTTTACCCCAGAGTATGCAAAGTATTAAGGTTTAAAAAAAAATCAATGCGGGGGCTCCGAAACAACGCCCCGACCCTCTTCACACGTATGTGATTGTTTTGCCGGGGGCTCCTTCCTTAATATCATTCAGTAGGTCCTAGGAGAGCTCTGTACTAATACAGGCTGTCATATAACCACAAACCAATGTGATATTTCATGATATCTAACACGGGGGCTCTGGTACGACGCCCCCGCCCCCAAAACACACCTATATAAATGTTTTGTTGGGGGCTCCAACCCTAACAGCGTTTACCAGAAATTGCATTCGTGCAAGAAAAAAGTTTTTTTTTTTTTTTTTTTTTTTTTTCCTTTATAGTTTTTGGGGGGCTCCGGGATGATGCCCCCGCCCCTACACCCTTATATGAAATTATTGCCAGGGGGTCCTACCCTACTACCTTTCAGTAGGTCCTAAGGAAGCCCTGTACAAAAGCAGGCTGTCGTATAACCACAAACCAATGTGATCTTACATGATATATAATATGGGGGCTCCGGTAAGACGCCCCCGCCCCCAAATCACCCCTATAAACATTTTTTTTTTGGGGGGGGCTTCAACCTTAACATCGTTCAGAAGGTCCTAAAAAGCCCTGTACCAAAAATTACATTCGTACAACAACAATTCAATGTTATTTTACCTTATATATTATTTAGGGGCTCGGGGATGACGCCCCCGCCCCCACACCTTTATATCAAATTTTTACCGAGGGCTCCTAGGCTATTATCGTTCAGTAGGTCCTAAGGAAGCCCTGTACCAAAAATGGCGCTTTTGTCCGCCGTGTAACGATAATCGATAATTTTGACGCTAAGCCACCTGACTAAAAGGGACTTTTAGATTTGCGTGGACGTGGACGTGTTGCGTCCTTTTAAGGCACTGGCAATCACATCCTTTTAAGCACTGGCAGTGCCTTAAAAGGAGGTCACACTTTGCGGTCCACGTTCTCATCGTGCAAATCTAAAAGTCCCTAATATTGATTTACTGGTGGAGGTTCATTATTTGCTGACAACGAAAAACTTCTCCTGGCCATGACCATGTTTCTGCCCTTGCCCGATCGCCTCCAGCTCCAGCAGACATGGCGCGGCAGCGTGCACACGCACCGCTACTAACGGCGCAGTAGGCCTATAACCACTGCTGACGGCGGCACTGCACTGCGAGCTGAATCGGTAATAGGCCTACTCATAAAACGAGAAATCTTGCACGCTAATCATAGTTCCATTTCATTGGTTTAAGGTTTGAAAATTGAAACTCAATATTGTGTTAAAGTTATAACAGAAAAGATTATCTTTATTTTATAATTCCAACGGGGCGATTTTTAATTTTGCAATGGCCCTCGTGAGCAACCTGACGGGGGCGATTTTGTAGCTCACGGGGGCGAATCGCCCACCGCCCCCGTGTATTTTGAGCGCTGTCATAGGGTTTGTTATAAATGTCGGTTTATGAAAGAATTCCCCATGCATATACCATTGTAATGTCCCACTCAGGCATGAAACAGAGAAAGAAAGATATATTGTACGTGCTTACTTGCAACCACTCTGAGCGAGAAAAAGAATTAGAATGAGTATACGGTGTTGGCCTTAACTTAATTTCGTGATCTAATTGATTCCCAAATCTGCTGGTCTACATACATCACAGACATACTGCATGAGAGTAAGTATGACATAAATCGTGATCTTAAACATACCTGTATATCAATGAATGTTCTCTCATGGTTCTCGCTTGGTTGTTTCATTCATATGGAAACGTACTTTTATCCGCTCAATTTGACTTTGCGTGCATAAAACAAAATGAGCATTTTTGCATGAAAAAGTGAATTTCTAAAAAGTGTGTTTCTTTCCAGCATTGGAGTGCCCGGGAGTCACTTGGGTATCCTTTGAAAAAATAAAATGTACAAAATAAATATTCACTTTCTCTGTACTTTTGTCGGAAAAAACGTAGTAATCCAGCACAATGTCATCTCTTTTCTACGTTGGAGGAGATAAAAATAGCGAGTTTCAATAGACCATTTTCGTAATGTAACCAAATTTAATGCATAAGTCTTTGTGAAGTGCCTCAATACAAATTATTTCATTCACCTGATAAGAACAATAGTATTTCAACAGAATCCGAACTGCATACATTAGTCCTGCCAGGTTGGATAAACATTATGGCTTGACATACTTAGCAACAATTAAAATATGCAGTTGCATTCTGACTATTGAAATACTATTATTCCTATCAGGTGAATGAAATAATTTGTATTGAGGCACTTCACAAAGACTTATGCATTAAATTTGGTTATATTACGAAAATGGCCTATTGCACTAATTCAGCCGCTCTCGCAAGCCCTCACTCGTTCCATGCATTGTGATCAGGCGGCCTCGGGGTGAGTGGTTAATGCATAAACTAATCGCTAGCTTTCTTCTGCTACATCAAACTTGCTTTGATTGGTTGTATATTGTTGTCGGAATAAAGGAAACTTAAACAAAAAAAATCTGCGTCTGAATGGAATTTTTGACCTTGAAGTGCCGAATGCACGCGCAGTACCTGCCCGATGAAGCCAGTGGCCCATGACCCCAACACTTAACACTGTATGACAGTATGGGCGTTAGTTTATGGCCAACTTCTTTTATATGACAAATCCAAGTATAGTCGGGTCATAAACACTACAAAACTGCAACAAACGGTTTTTCAACGGTTTCCAGTAAAAAATAACATTCTAAAATTGTGAAAGTACCAAAATCCACGGTTTAGAAAGCTGTTATTTTCAAGATGGCGTCCAAGATACCTAAAAATGGCCATAAATCACTTATTATCCATCCTAGAGACATACCTTTAGTGTCTATCCCATGGTTTTTTGAGGGGGTCAGATAATCCATTAGACAGTAGAATGTTTTTAGATGGTCTAGGAAACCCCCACATCCAAGATGGTGTCCAAAATGGCCGCCGCTACCTAAAAATATAGCCATAAGTCACTTAGTATGTATTCTAGCTAGAGGCATGACTTTGATGTCTATCCCATGGTTTTCGGGGCGGAGAATACATTGAAATGAGTTAAAATGTTCATTGGTGGACAGCTAGCTATAGGAAACCCCCAAATTCAAGAGGCCTCAAAAGGGCCATCATCTTCAGCGCTCTGGAGCCAGTGTGTTGCCTCTCTTCTTGCTACATGTCCAAAACATCTAAGTCTATTTATCCTCATAACCTGCGCCACCCCATCAATCCCATTGATTGAAGGAGGACTTCGTTCTTCCTTCTCTCGGGAAGTGATATGCCCTGCACATCCACCTCACCATCGTCATCTCAGCTTTCTCCATGCTCTTTACATTGGACGATTTCATTGCCCATGTTTCGCTCCCGTACGTCATGCATTTTCTTACTCGAGCAGACCACACCTTCCCTTTTACTCTTAAAGGGGTTGCCCTTGAGCTGAGGAAAGGAGAGAGCTCACGAAACTTTTTCCAAGCGCTTTGGATTCTTGCAGTCACAGCTGCTGTCTCTCCTCCTCTGACAGCCATGTCTCCCAGGTAGCAGAACTTCTACACCTAAGCTTATCATACGCCGTTCAATGGAGATCCAAACCTGTCACATTGTCACTGGTACATTTTCTATGAGATTGTACCTAAGCATCTCTTTCAGATGAATGTCTTAATAACTTGCTCCTTACAGGCTACCAAATATTCCACTGTACCTGCGTTGGAACCAGCAACTGCATTTGGTGCATCTGATTGAGTTTGCTCCAACACCTGTATAGTAAACTCCGCAGTGGTATTCTGTTTTCTCTGTCTCACCTGCATCAGCAGAAGACACCATGACCTTGGACTTTTCAGCATTCACTTTCAGACCCTTTCCTTCTAGGGCTGCTTGTCATGGAGATATGCTAGCTATAAATTAAGTTCTTGATCACTCTTAGCCATCAGCACAAGGTCATCTGCATAATAGCAGTTCCCATGGAAGCCTTCCTGAATGTCCTTTGAGATGACATATATTACGATGATGAAGAGGAAAGAGGATAAGACTGAGCACTAGGCCTTGGTGAACTCCTACTTTGACATAAAAGATTTTGCTGTCACCACACGACGTTTGGATGTGTGTCTTTGCTTCTGTAAATAGTGCCATGACTGCTCTTACGAGCCACTCCTCAACACCCGCTATCCTCAACGTCAAGTTGACAACCTCCCTTGGTATTCGGTCAAAGGCCTTCTCTAGGTCGACGAATGCAAAGTACAGCTGCTGCTTCTTTGCAATAAACTTTTCTTGCATCTGACGTACGGTGAATATTGCATCGATAGTTCCCTTTAGTTCTCAAACTGAATTACATCAACTGCAACCTACTCTCTGACTCTCTTTTCCAGAACTCTCTCATAGATCTTCATGGCATACTCAAGAAGCTTGATGGTTCGAAAGGACCTAAAATGGCCAGAGGGTTTCCTTTTCCTTTAAAGAGTGGAAATACAGCACTCAGAGTCCAGTCAGATGGAATGTGACCTTCATCTAGAATATCATATAACAGATCTATCAACCACTAAACACCATGTTTCCCTAATGCTAGTATGATTTCCTTGACCACTCTTGATGGACCAGCTGCCTTTCCCTTGCTGGAGAGTAAAAGGGCGCGAGCAACCTCACCTTGTCAGTTGTGATCGAAATGCGACATCTTGGCCCCTCTGTTGCGTCACACTAAGTAATCACATCCCAAGAGTTTTCAACATTCATGAAGCGTTCCGTGTAACTCCTCCACGCTTCTTTCACAC